AATAGTCGCATATTAAACACACTGAACACTGTCTTCAAAGGACATTTTATCAGGTAACTCAAGAAACTGAAAACTTCTATTCATAACCTTTGGGGTACTAGTTTATGCAGTGCCTCTCCATTCAATGAGTTGTTTGATCTCTGTATTTGAAGAGTATTTTATACATATCACACGTATTAGCTCCCTTTTGATGAAGACCCGAAAATGATACCAGGGAATAACAGACCTGGATATAATTGTGACCAGGAGATCCTAGCATGACAAAGGGACAGAACTCTGCATAATTAATAGTTGCAGTTCAGATCATGAGGACTGACATGCTTTGGTCTCTCACTTCGAAACGGAGAAAACCAGATTGTTAATCTTGTACAAAGGAACCCTGCTTCATCACAGATGTCAAACATTGTGCAATATTTAATAATTACAATATACAATCTTTACACACAATATCAGTTCTGGTGTCCATTTGTAAGCAGGTCATAAAAGTATCCAGTTTCAGAGATAACACACACTCCAGACCTGTACATCTTCATCATCTCATCAGCCTGTACCATAGTCTCATCTCACTAAAACAATCTCATTGATAAAATCTTTTGTGCACACACGACACCTCTTTATTTTAGATCTGACAAGCATTACAAAGGGGGTGGTGTCCGGTGAACCCTAAGCCAAAACTGATGGCCCAATCAAAATGAAGAACGAGTGAGGTTTGAAGCCAACATAATCCAGCTTCAACAGGCGCATAGCAAGCCAACTTTTTCATGTAAGCCTGAGAGGTTGCAAAGCTATATATTTAGATAGTATTGAGGGCTAGCCCAACTTTCATTTTCAAAATCATGTGTAAGCCCGGCCTTTTTTCTATAATGGAAGCTACGCCCCTGTTCAAGTTAGAATCAAACAAAAGAAAAAAAACCTCAAAATAGGTATTCCCTCAATGGTACACCTTTTTCAGTGTAGATACCATGGCGTCAAAAATCAACATGGAGAATAAAGTAGCACAATGTTATGGTGCAGGTGTAACTATTTCCATTCCAAACAGGTTGCTTACATCCAATCATTTGTTCATACACAGAATTCAGGACCTTGACACTAATTGGCTGATTATAAACTTAACCAGATATAACCTCCTACTGGAATGGTTGTCAGATCTGTCAGAAATGTATCATGTTGTAGAATAGATGAGATTTTGATGAGAATAATTACAAAACAAAAAATCAATTAGGGCACATCCCTCAACACATTTCTAGCCAAAATACGGAGCCATAACAATGGCATAATTTTGTGCTCATGTGCAGAAGTTCTGTGAGAACATGACCCATTTGTTCACTCACACAAAACCATAGCAATTCTTCAACGGAATGTTACACCACGCTGTTACATCAGATCAAACATAAAATAATAATCAAAATATATTTGATTTTGAAATTGATATTGTGATACAAATGTACATCCAATTAATCATATAATCTACACAATAACATAACAAAAACGTTGCCATGGATTCTGTAGCTTCCCTGTTTCAAACAGGTAGTGAGTGAGTATGGTTTTACGCCGCTTTTAGCAATATTCCAGCAATATCATGGCGGGGGACACCAGATAAACCAGTTAATGTATGGAAGAAGAAGATACATGTTTTTACACTTCCATGAACCATGTTCAAGAAGACATTGTGCTTGTGGAAAAAAAAGCCACACAAAATACAAACATCCTTGTACAGTAATACAAGACACTTAATATGGATGTGCAACTTCTTTAGTATTAGCCCAGAAACGTCATGTGTAAATAATAGAGAAGTTGCACATCCATATCAAGTGTCTTGTATTACCCTACCAACTTCTAACTGCCTATCAAACATCTGATCATTGTACAGGCATTATTATTTCCATTTGGAACCGGCTGCTTATGTCCATTTTTGAGATACAGACACCAGATACAGTGTTGTAAACGCTTGCACTCGTTCAAACTAAGAATTCTTGCTTCTGACGTCAGGTTTAGGGCCAGAACAGTGAAACACCTGCCATGGAATGACAAGAATTACATTCTTGTACCAGTTTGTACAAGTCCCACTTGCTATAATAATAATAATAATAATAATATGCATCAGATCTTGTATTACATGTTGACATCATCCTGATGTTGTTCTTCCTGATGGAGCTCACATGAATCTGTGTTCCCTGTACCAATATATACAGAATACCAGGAACCAGTGCCTCCAGTCTGATCTCTCTGAGGGTGACTGTAACAGTCTCTTTCCCAATTATCCCATCAGTGTGTAGGTCTAAGATCCACAATTTTATCATTATTATTATTATTGTTATGTAAAGCACCTGCCCATGACTATCCATAAGAAACTACCATGTCATGCCAATCAATGACCTCTAGCTTACCGATAATAAACTACAGAATCATGCCAATAAATTTCCTCCAACTGGCTTACCCATAATGTACTATTATATCATGCCAGTATAACCCCAAACTTACCCAGTATATATACGGTAAGCAAAGCATTCAGTGAAGACCAACCTACCCCTAATATCAACAAATTACCATATTACTCAAGTCAAAGACCTAAACCATATTAGCTTAGGCCAGACCAATTTTATTTATTGTTTTACAGATTTTTGTCCTCAGAAAACCTAAAGATAGGAGGGATTTTTCTTTCTTTTTAAATCACCAATATGGGAAATGTTTCTTTTAAATACTAAAAGGATTTTACTGTTGGCAATTTATGAAGTGTATATGAGGCAAAAACAATCAAACAATTTGTTAGGTAAGTTTACATATTTGGCTAATAAAGACATTAGGATTTTTACTTTTTGAGCAGGGAAAATTAATATTTATTGTTTTTCATATTCTTGAAAAAATATGACCGGCGGATCCATAAAACAAGAAATAAAATTGGTCTGGCCTTACCAATAATAAACTACCATATAACAACAGTGATCCCTAGCCTTTGATGCTTCCATACCTGCATGATAACTTACAGTAATAGCCCCTAGCCTACCTGAAATATCTACCCTTGAGCTGGCTATTGATTTAGATCATAGAGATCGATAATCGTTAACTAAATATTGATTGATTATTAATGAATATCGAAGAAGTAACTGAGCGAAAATGCCCCATAAAGTCTGAAAGAAATGAATATATTTCACATCACTGGTAAGTGGTGACATGTTTATGCATGGGTTACTAAGAAAACAGCATACTGAACATAATTTAGACTGACTCACTGAGTTTGGTTTTACGCCGCTTTTAGCAATATTCCAGCAACATCACGACGGGGGACACCAGACATGGACTTCACACATTGCCCATGTGGGGATTCAAACCCGGGCCTGCGGCGTGATGAGCCAACGCTTTAACTACTAGGCTACCCCACCGCCCCCATAATTTAGAAGCAACCCATGAATAAAAACCTAACTTTGTGTATTGTTTGAGTAAATTAAAACTTCATTTTATCACCAAAGTGTATGAACGATATTATCAATGACACTATTTTCATATCGATAATCATTAATAAATTTTCCTTTTTTTCCGATTACCTGTATCTATCTTTTTAGCCAGCTCTAATATACCCCATCACATTACTCAATAGCCCCTTGCCTGCCCCAAATAATCTACCTTACCACATTACTCAATGGCCCCCAGCCAAACCACAATAAGCTAGCTAATCACATTACTCAATGGCCCCCAGCCAAACCACAATAAGCTAGCTAATCACATTACTCAATGGCCCCCAGCCAAACCACAATAAGCTAGCTAATCACATTACTCAATGGCCCCCAGCCAAACCACAATAAGCTAGCTAGTCACATTACTCAATGGCCCCCAGCCAAACCACAATAAGCTAGCTAGTCACATTACTCAATGGCCCCCAGCCAAACCACAATAAGCTAGCTAGTCACATTACTCAATGGCCCCCAGCCAAACCACAATAAGCTAGCTAGTCACATTACTCAATGGCCCCCAGCCAAACCACAATAAGCTAGCTAGTCACATTACTCAATGGCCCCCAGCCAAACCACAATAAGCTAGCTAATCACATTACTCAATGGCCCCCAGCCAAACCACAATAAGCTAGCTAGTCACATTACTCAATGGCCCCAGCCAAACCACAATAAGCTAGCTAATCACATTACTCAATGGCCCCAGCCAAACCACAATAAGCTAGCTAATCACACAATTACTCAATCACATTACTCAATGGCCCCAGCCAAACCACAATAAGCTAGCTAATCACATTACTCAATGGCCCCAGCCAAATTACAATAAGCTAGCTAATCACATTACTCAATGGCCCCCAGCCAAACCACAATAATCTACCTAGTCACATTACTCAATGGCCCCAGCCAAACCACAATAAGCTAGCTAATCACATTACTCAATGGCCCCCAGCCAAACCACAATAAGCTAGCTAATCACATTACTCAATGGCCCCCAGCCAAACCACAATAAGCTAGCTAATCACATTACTCAATGGCCCCCAGCCAAACCACAATAAGCTAGCTAATCACATTACTCAATGGCCCCCAGCCAAACCACAATAAGCTAGCTAGTCACATTACTCAATGGCCCCAGCCAAACCACAATAAGCTAGCTAGTCACATTACTCAATGGCCCCTAGCCAAACCACAATAAGCTAGCTAGTCACATTATGGCCCCAGCCAAACCACAATAATAGTCACATTACTCAATGGCCCCCAGCCAAACCACAATAAGCTAGCTAGTCACATTACTCAATGGCCCCCAGCCAAACCACAATAAGCTAGCTAGTCACATTAGCTCATTACTCAATGGCCAGCCAAACCACAATAAGCTAGCTAGTCACATTACTCAATGGCCCCAGCCAAACCACAATAAGCTAGCTAGTCACATTACTCAATGGCCCCCAGCCAAACCACAATAAGCTAGCTAATCACATTACTCAATGGCTGGCCCCAGCCAACCACAATAAGCTAGCTAATCACATTACTCAATCACATAGTCACTCAATGGCCCCCAGCCAAACCACAATAAGCTAGCTAGTCACATTACTCAATGGCCCCCAGCCAAACCACAATAAGCTAGCTAGTCACATTACTCAATGGCCCCCAGCCAAACCACAATAAGCTAGCTAATCACATTACTCAATGGCCCCCAGCCAAACCACAATAAGCTAGCTAGTCACATTACTCAATGGCCCCCAGCCAAACCACAATAAGCTAGCTAATCACATTAATCGATAGCCGCATATGCATCTTCCTCTTCTTCTTCTTCATCTGGAACCTGGGATGGAAGAGCAAGGGATGGTGATATTGACGATGGTTCCTCATAAGCACCTGGTATGGACACACTCTTCTTAGCACTGGTATTAAACGTAGCCTCCTCGTATTCATTCTCAGCTCTTTCCTTCTGAAGCTCAGCAATCGTTCTTCCCGAGGCCATGCCGTATATATTCTCAGAAGCAGATGCAATTTGAGACCTAGAGCCCATATGAACTATGCGATCATAAGTTTCATCCTCCTCCTGGGTGACAAATGTAGGCGCCCCATTGGCCAGGTCTCCAGGACTGGAAGTTGCAGCTACTTTAATGTTGTCATAATCCTCTTGATGAACATTGTCTTCAGGCCGAGCATGCTGCTTCCAAGCATCCTTCTTCTTCTCAGGCTCAGAGTACACAACAGTGTCTGGGTTGTCTACAGCATGTTTCTTATGGTCCACTGCTCTTGGTTTTGGTTTCGGTATAGGTCTTAGGGAGGTTTCAGCAGCTTCAGCGTATAATGGTTCCGGCCCTGGCTGGTTGATACAGCTGGGTGTTATGTCAGTTATATCCTCATATGCATGAAGGTTTGCTTCTCCATACCTTGGGGTGCTTGCCGACAATGTTGCCTGTACTGGTTTCTCACTCTCACCCTTTTTCACATCTCCCTTTTTGTCTTTCTGTTTCTTTTTTTTTTGTTCCTGTTCCTTTTTTGCTTTCTGTTCTTCCTTTTTTGCTTTCAATTCCTGTTCCTTCTTTGCTTTCTGTTCTTGTTCCTCCTTCTTTGCCCTCAGTTCCTGTTCCTTCTTTGCTTTTTGTTCCTGTTCTTTCTTTGCTTTCAGTTCTTTTTTATCCAACTTCTTTGCAGGTTGTGCATCATCTGATTTTTTATCTCCCTTATTTGCATGTTGTACATCATCTGAGAGTCTTTCAGAAGACGAATTTGATCCTCTTCTTGCATTTGGAACTAGATGGTCACCATCCTTTTTATGCTGTATAACTTGGTTCAACTGTGAAGTGAAGCCTTGTGTAATTCCTATTACATTTCCCCCTGACTTAACGCTTGACCTTTTCTCAGGATCTACTGAAACACTTCTTGGTGTAATCTTTGGGGACAATTTAGTTTCCACAGGTGCAGCACCGGTGCCATGACTTCTACCTTGACTAAGACGGGAACCTTGAATGGGCTCGTTTTGGGATTTCCCTGACGCACTTAAAACTGTGTCATCACCATGACATCGAATCTTCTGCGTTGTGCTAGTGACTGTGTCAAAGATCATGACGCCTTGATTAGTCTTTAAACTAAATTCCCCCTCCCCTGATGGGCACTTTCTGCCGGCCTCAAACTGGAAGTGGGTCTTGGTTTTGCCAAACCTTCGGATGTATCTGAATGGCCATTGGAAGATAGCTTTTTTGGTGTTACAGTCCACCAATGCTATATTCTGAATGTTCACCGCGAGTATGTACGGTCCCTTCAAGCCACATCTTTCAGAAGCTTCTGTCTCTTCAACAATGACATTGAACATGGGAGCTGGAACAGCAAAATATTATGTTTGAGTAGTGTGGATACAGTATGAGGTCTGACAACAAGATGGTTGATACATATAGTATACCCTGGTGATGCAGTGTGAGATCTGACAACAAGATGGTTGATACATATAGTATACCCTGGTGATGCAGTGTGAGGTCTGACAACATGGTGGTTGATACATATAGTATACCCTGGTGATGCAGTGTGAGGTCTGACAACATGATGGTTGATACATATAGTATACCCTGGTGATGCAGTGTGAGGTCTGACAACATGATGGTTGATACATATAGTATACCCTGGTGATGCAGTGTGAGGTCTGACAACATGGTGGTTGATACATATAGTATACCCCCTGGTGATGCAGTGTGAGGTCTGACAGTGTGAGGTCTGACAACATGGTTGATACATATAGTATACCTGGTGATGCAGTGTGAGGTCTGACAACATGATGGTTGATACATATAGTATACCCTGGTGATGCAGTGTGAGGTCTGACAACATGGTGGTTGATACATATAGTATACCCTGGTGATGCAGTGTGAGGTCTGACAACATGGTGGTTGATACATATAGTATACCTGGTGATGCAGTGTGAGGTCTGACAACATGGTGGTTGATACATATAGTATACCCTGGTGATGCAGTGTGAGGTCTGACAACATGATGGTTGATACATATGGGATACCTTGGTGATGCAGTGTGAGGTCTGACTTTGCTAAAGATTCCTTCAAAATAAAATGGAAGCTTTTCAAACCTTGGACATCGAGAATACAGTCATTTCCAGCTCAAATGCACATGGTAATCTTAATCTTAAAATAACAAAATGCTAGGATATATTTCTTTGGGTTAAATAATAGTTTTCTGTGTTATATTTTACTGATGACTGCACATGTTAGAATTTAAAATAACAAAATGCCGGATATATTATTGTGCATGTTTGAACTTGATCAGCCGGGCAACATGTGCACAGTTTGATTGCTATTGCACAGCTGATTGCTATTTCCGGCTCAGATACACACGGTAATCTTAATCCCTGCAAATAATACAATGCCCAGCAAAAACAACTTAGAACTTAAAAGGTAAATAATCAATGTTGTTTTCTTACCCCTGGAAAAAAGATTGACGAAAGCGTAACCCATGGATAAGACGACCCCCTTCTACAGACTGCTTTTTTGGGTCCTCAAATACGGTAGTCTACGTACTTTTTGATTGACCCACGTAGTTGCGATACCATTTTTCAAAGAAAACTTTTTACTAACGTTCCCAATATACTTTGATAGGGATAATAATCTTAACATGTGCTAAAAAGGTTGGTCCCCAGACTTGAAACTTACTTGTCTCCGCAGACTCATATATGATATTGTCATCCATGTAGCAGTGACTATCACTCTCGTCGTCATCGGACACCTCTCCACTGTCGGCGTCAGCTATTATAACCACTTTCAAGAAGCGCTTTAAGCTAGACACCCAGGTTTTATAGTCCTCATTTGTTTCTGCCGTAAAACAGAATTTGTCCTTTTTTGTGATCACATCGAAACCAAGTTTCCTTTTGTGGGGGCACCGCAATCCCTTCGCATGATCCAGACTGATCACTTTCCCCTCCTTCTTTTTTTGGAAATGTTCCAACTTCTCAAATGCATGAATCTCTGGAGTCTTGCCGCTTTGCTCCACTAGAACACAATATCGCCTCTGCCAGGACTTGGACTGAAACATTGAAGAAGTGAGTGAGTGAGTAAGTGAGTGAGTGAGTGAGTGAGTGAGTGAGTGAGTGAGTGAGTGAGTGAGTGAGTGAGTGAGTGAGTGAGTGAGTGAGTGAGTGAGTGAGTGAGTGAGTGAGTGAGTGAGTGAGTGAGTGAGTGAGTGAGTGAGTGAGTGAGTGAGTGAGTGAGAGAATTTTATGCTGCTTTTCACAACATTCCAGCAATATCATGGCTGGGGGATACCAGCAATGGGTTTCACACATTGTACCCGGGCAGGGAATGGAACCCAGGTTTTTGGCGGTCTGACGAACGTACGCTTAAACCAGTAAGCTCACCCACCAACCCTTTAATGCAGTGAAACACTGTACATGGTCGATTCCAACGAAAAGTGTACACAGCTGGGTACAAGGTGTCCAAAATAGAATTGCTTGCACCTTGTACTTCTTTTTACCAATGTAAAGTCAACATATTTGCCTCTTATGAATATTAGTTGCCATCACTAATCTCTAAAAGTGACAAGTTAGTGGATCAGTGAAGTTGAAGGCTCATTTTCTGAATTACCTACAAATACCAACATCCAAATTCACTGTTGTTCTGCATGCACAATATGTTAATGACCATAGAAACTCTGAAGCCATATCATGGTTTCTTTCATGTGTTATATCCTCAAGCTTTACGAAAATAGAACCATTTTGGTACCTTTCTTTGATGTAAGTGAGATAGCACCACTTAGTGTCCTTTTCACAAACAAATCATTATTACATATCTATCTTATTCACCTGAGAGACCACGGGTGGAACTTTCGGCAAGTACAACAAATTTGAAAATGCATCAATAACTAAATTTTGGGTGGAAGATAAAAAAAATGTACTTGTAAGAAAGAAATATCACGTAATTCCTTGTATTTCATAAATGTTTATATATGTCAAACTAAATCATAGCTGGTTTATTACAACATCGAACAGTTTGGAAATTGTTTTCTAATTGCATAGGGACATATGAATGAAGATTGTTTACAACCAGTTTAACGCTTTCTCTTTGTTTTGTCGCAGTGTATGTTGGAGAGAGCAATGTCATTTTAACTGATGGAAATATACTTCTCATCAAAAGTTTAGACTCACTAGAAACACTCACTGTATGTTAGGCCGGGTTTTTTTTATTAATTGGTTTCCGGATCCGCCGACCCTAATTTTTGGCAATGGCAAATAAAAATAAAATTTCAATGAGAAGTGTTTTTTATTACAGCCGAGTCCTTGGTATCAAAACCTACATTAAAAAAAAAAGATCGACTGACATACCCGATATTAAAATCAGTCATCTATATGCACTGGCTCAGAAATAAATATTTCACTTGTAGAAAAATCGCGGGCATGACTACGAATCAATAACAATGTCTGAAAACACTTATTACATTTCAAATGACCATATATTATCGACAGAATTAGAAATATAAGATATTTGTCGCAATGTTATTGAAAAAACGATTCTTGGACACATGCTTCGGCAAACGGGTCCACATCAAAGTTGTCAAAGAACAAAGTAACGATGTTTCGAGATAATAATTAAACAAATTGAATAAACTGAAGAATATATTCAATAACAGTACTCATAAAAGTTTTCAAACGTACATTATAACTTACTATTTCCATCTTTATTGTGCGATCGTGTAATGTAATTCAAGTGGCATCTCGGCTTTCGTCGCCTCGAACACGATGTTTAATGCCAAAATATATGCATAAAGCATTTTTGTCCCAGGGCATAACCTAGCACGATACGTCCATTAACTCTTTCAACACCAGTCAACCAGAGGCATTTACTGCCATGACACCGAGTTCCCAGAGACTCTGAGGTCAAAGATGAAGCCTATGTTTATGAAGGAAATTATAAGCTTGCAAAACGTTATTGCTTCTACATCCCATACACCATTTAAAAGATCTAATCCCACTGTTGATAAATATGAAGTTTATTTTTATAATATTATTCAAATAATACAACTACAACTTAAATAAAATTATTTTTGAATGAAAATGCAAGCTTACATTTATAACGTCCAGATAAACTACGAAAGAAGCAAAAACTAAGGCGATTTTTTTCCATTTGTGACATGTCATAACATGCCCGTGCCTTTTTCTTTTATATTTTCACTTTTACGTAATCAGAAAATTATTATAAAAGATTTCTTAAATAATATGTATGGTCAGCCTATTTCCCGATATCTGTGGCTTTCCGCCGGTAACATGACATAACAACGGAAAATACCTCCGTTTTGAAGCTTCGTTATGAATAACATGGAGGCTAATCGTTTGATGCCGAAGTATCGTCGAAAGCTCTGAACATCAACAACATCACTGAACCCTTGCCGAGTATTTTCACAGTTGTAAGAAGCGATTTTATTGGATAAAATTGGTTTCTAATGACGCTTTTTCGCTACAGTCTGCTATAAGGGTCGTGATTGGTCAAAATCAGATACGTGACCTAAGGCAGCCAATCATATTACGGCAATGGATACCGTCCTCGTAAAAGAAAAAGTTTCGATTTAGACGAAAGTTTTGGGTAAAATAATACTATTCTGAACATATTAAGCAAGAAATCGCTACATATACGTAAATTATGGGACTTATTGGACGTATTGTGCTAGGTAATGACCTGTGACAAAAATGCTTCATGCATATATTTTCGCATTAAACATCGTGTCCGAGCGTGAAGATTGAGGCGGCGAGAGCCGAGATGTCACTTGTCAGTGATTTGACTTGCATTACATGATCGCACAAAAAGATGGAAAAAGTAATTTTATATGTACCTTTGACAACTTTTATGAATGCTGTTGTTGATTTTATTCATTAGTTTATTCTATTTATTTAATCATTTCCTCGAAACATCGTTACTTTGCTCTTTGACAATGTTATTGTGGACCCGCTCCCGAAGCATGTGTCCGAGAATCGTTGTTTTCAATTACATTGCGAAAAATAGTTTATAATTTTAATTCTGCCGATAATATATGATCAATTGAAATTTAATAAGTGTTTCCAGACATTGTGAAATGTGATGGATTTAATATATGAATCATAAGTCAGGTAAGTTCCTAAAATTATGTCTCATTTTGACGTGACCACTGCCTGGCCGCTTAAGCGGCCTCCGGTGTCTTGGGACTCATAACGTTGTGGCCGCTTAAGCGGCCTACGGTGTTGAAAGGGTTAAGGTCCATAATATACGCATAGGTAGTGATCTTGTGCGTAACACGTTCAGAATAGCATGATTTTACCCAAAACTTTAATCTGAATCTAAAAGTTTTCCTTTACGAGGATGGTATCCATTGCTGTAGTATGATTGGCTGCCTTAGGTCACGTGTGTGATTTTGACCAATCACGATCCTCGTAGCAGACTATGACAGAAAAGCGTCATTAGAAACCAATCTTTATCCAATAAAATCGCTTCTTACAACTGTGAAAATACTCTTGGCAAGGGTACAGTGATATTGTTGATGTTCAGAGCTACGAACGATACCCGCCATCAAACGAATCGCCTCACATGTTTTCATCACGGCTTCAAAACGGAGGTATATCCCACTGTTGTATCACGTTACTGAGCGGAAAGCCACTGGTTTCGGGAAATAGACGACGTTACATATTATTTGAGAAATCTCTTTGTAATAGTTTTCCGATGACATAACATGAAAATATAAAAGAAAAACGTAAGGGGATAATTATGACATGTTACAATTGGAAAAATTCGCCGCATTTTTTGCTCCCTTCGTGGTTTATCTGGACCTTATAAATGTGTAAGCTTGCATTTTCATTAAATATTAACTTATTTACGTTGCATTTGTATTATTTGAATAATATGATCATATCCATCTGTCATGACTGAATTAAATTATGCCAAAACATATTGTGTGTTTGTTTGTTATGATACCACACCTCTGTCAAATTAATTTTTTGGTTTATTAACGATTGGAATTTGAGGACTACCAAAATTGTTACTACTGTGGTGACGATGATGCGGCCATTATGTGAAACATGTCTGCAGACTGGAAAGCAGCCTGCAGTGCGAAATGCCCTAAAGGTGGGACCAAAGAAGAAATAGTCATTGATTTCTGCATTTTGTAAACAAATAAGCAACAAGTCAAAGACGACTGGGCAGTATTAAAGTCAGTAGTGAATATGTCCCTTGTTTGTACTTTCATTTTATTAAATATGGAGGATATTTCATGTTTCCAGTGCAATATCAGTTACCTCTCATCTCATAATGGAGAAAGGCTGATATTTGCCGAGATATTACACTGGAAACATGACAAATCCTATATATTCGATGCTTCAAAGATGGAAAAGAGGCATGTCCAGACTGTCCATACCATTGTTGCACTGTCACCAAGCAACGACTATTAAATGATGTCAGGTTGATTGTAATAGTGAGGTACCGCATTCTACAGGTGATGTCAACATATTTTTCAAAAACTCAGTCATTCACTCTTATGATTCACAATAATTCTTCTTCTCTTACAATATCAAAATTTGGATTACTTTTTTTAATCCTACCAACTCAAATGTTGAGACAAGCACTTAAAAAAATTGAAGACTTTCAATTTTATTTTTATTTTTATTTCGACAACCGACCCTAGGTATTTTGGAAAAAAATCCGTAAACCAATTAATAAAAAAAACCCGGCCTTATTATTGTTATGTGTATATATATATATATATGGCCACATCGAAGATTGATTTCTCCACTAACTTGGGGTAACCAACTGCAAACCTTATGCAGATGAATTGCACGAGGAACATGCATCAAATTGCTGAAAAGCATGTGCAAATAACGTGCATGTGAACAGCTGCATTTTGGTGTAAAGTTTAGTTTAGAATTCACCAATTTTCACTGATTTGTATCATTGATTGAACTCATGACAATAATCTTTTCAATGTTACGAATTTGTTTTACAATACATCAGTTCATGTGTAAACAGTACCTTTAAACAGTATGGAATATTTTGCAAAGTTAGTTTAAAACA